CGAGACCCCACAGTCAGACAGCCCCAAGCTCACACTGAGCATCCCAGCCCCTTTCTGCCCACAACTGGGCTCCCCAACCCCCTGCCTTGCTACCTCCCCCAAGGAGGGGGTGCCACGGGAAGGCCAGGCTCACTGCCTTGGCGCAGGGAGTCACGCAGTCCCCACCGTGCCCCCACCTTTCAGCCGGAGGTCCACCACATTGCTCTCGTCCTCCAGCCCATCGATGACCTCGCAGCGGTATTTGCCATCATCCTGCAAGCGCACATCGCTGACGACCAGCGAGGCCTCGCGCCGGCCAGCCTGGCGGAGGCGAGCGCGGCCCTGGAAGTCCCCAAAGGCCACGCAGGTCTTGCCTACAATGGCAACCAGCACGTCCTGCTCCTTGGTGTAGTCGTCCCGCAGCTTGGACCACTTGATGCGGATCTTGCCCTTCCCCTCCATCTCAGGCTCGTAATGGTAGTGGCAGGGGAGGGTGACATTGGCACCGTTGGAGCTGTAGACGGGATCTTTGGGGGTCTCCACCACCAGCTTGGCCCCGTTGAAGTAAACCACTGTGGAGAGGGAGGGAAGACGTGAAGTGTGGGTCAGGGTCCAGGGCTGGGCAGCGTCACCAAATCTCCTTGCAACCAGCCGCTCTGCTCCCTCCCTCCAGCCATCTCCTCTTCTGCCTTAGCATCCCACGAGCAACCCCCAAGCATCCCTGGAGCACCCCCACCTGCTCCTCTGGGCCCCAACACCCCCCCGCCAAGAGATGGGTCCCAGCCCCATCCCAGAGATGGGGGGGACTTCAACCCCCTGCACCGACCTGCCAGCCCCCCTTTCCGCCAGCCCTGCCAACCCCCAATATACCTTTCTCCTGCCCGTTGCCCTTGTCGTTCATGATGTGGCTGTAGTAGAAGCCGTTGTAGAAGGGGTCACAGCAGGGTGGCCGCCAGGAGCAGCAGGAGCAGCAGCATGGCTGTGGAGCGAGGCTGAACTCTGAGCCTGAGCTGCCGAGGGGAAAAGGGCTGTGGTAACACCCCAAAATAACCAGGAGGGCCCCAGTGCGGCAGGCAAACCCCATCGCAGGGGTGCAAGGAGAGGGGTGGGA